GATAGATAGATAGATAGATAGATAGATAGATAGATAGATAGAGGGGGTGTCTGGGGATAGATAGATAGTTGGGGTGGATGGGGATAGATAGATAGATGGATAGCGATGTATAGGGACAGACAGATAGAGGTGTGGTGTGGAAATAGGACGGGTTAGCGCTGTGCTGGGGGCGCTGTGCTGGGGGTGCTGTGGGGCAGGGGGCTCAGCAGGGGGCGCTCTCCCCGGGCAGGCAGGGCTGGCCCCAGGGCGGCGCTAGGGGGCGCTGTGGGGCAGGGAGCAGGGCTGGGGCTCAGCAGGGGGCACTCTCCCCACCACTGCCCACGCTGCCCCCTGCGTGGTGGGGCGCCCCCTTTCCCGCCCACGCCCGTGTAGCACCAGGGGGTTGGGGAATCCAAACCCAGGGCGGGGCTGGTACCTGGCCGGGCGCAGCTCCCCCACCTCTGACCCCCCGCAGTGGGGGATAAAGCTCACCACCCGGCCAGAGAAAAGCCGGAGCCCCCCCTCGCTGGAGTCTGGATCCCTGTGGCAGGACAAAGAACAAAGGGCCCTTGTCCGGGTGCTGGCGGCTCTGGCTCTCCAGGCGCAGCTCGGGGCAGAAACGGCTGAAGGATGTGACCCAGCGCTGGGTGAGGGGTCCCTGTACGAACAGCCCCCACGCCCCACCCCAGAGCCAGCCGCGTCTTGGCGCCGGGCGAGGGGTCCCTGCTGGGGAGTAAGATTTGTGGATGCAGAGCCAGATTCCCTCTGCCCCATTTGTGCAGGGACAGGGTGAAGCTGGGGATCGGGACAGGGGGTGCCAGGGTATGGGGCGTGTCCCAGGGCTGGCTGGCTGGCTGCTCCGGCGTCAGCACACTGTGCTGGGAATGGAGCCAGGCCTCTTTGAACTTCCCAAACCTGCAGCTGGCCAGGAAACAGGATGGAGCCACATGGGCCCACAGGGAGAATTGTCACGCACAGGGCCCTGGTCCGGCGCGGAGATGCGCCCACCTCTGGGGTGGGGCGGCCGGTTACGCAGGGACCCCTCGCCCAGCGCTGAGATGCAGCCACCTCTGGGGCGGGGCGGCCAGTTACACAGGGACCCCTCGCCCGGCGCTGAGATGCAGCCACCTCTGGGGCGGGGCGGCCGGTTACACAGGGATCCCTCGCCCGGCACTGAGATACACCCGCCTCTGGGGCGGGGCGGCCGGTTACACAGGGATCCCTCACCCGGCGCTGAGATGCGGCCACCTCTGGGGCGGGGCGGCCGGTTACACAGAGACCCCTCGCCTGGCGCTGAGATGCGGCCACCTCTGGGGCGGGGCGGCCGGTTACACAGGGATCCCTCGCCCGGCGCTGAGATGCAGCCATCTCTGGGGTGAACTCGCAGCCTGATCCCCCTGGACGGGGTCTGTCACCAGGTCTCCGCTGTGCACGGGGGGGGCTGGCCCGAAGCCCCTTCCAACTGGGTCTCTGCCAGTGGGCATCCCTGTGTGTGTGTGTGGTGTGTTGTATCTGTGTGCCGTGTGTGTTTCCGTGTGTTGTGTGTGTGTCCGTGTTGTGTGGACATCCCGTGTGGTGTGTGTATGTGGTGTGGTGTGTCTGTGTGCCATGTGTGTGGTGTGCCATGTGTTGTGTATGTGTCCGTGTGTTGTGTGTGGTGTGCCGTGTGGTGTGTGGGTGTGTGTCTGGGCCAGGGGCCAGGCGATGACCCCACTCCCCGGGCAGCGTCTCTGCAGGGGACTCCGTGATCCGGCTGCCAGCCTGTGCCCAGAGGCATGTGCTGGGCTGGCCCGTGTTGCGTGTCTCTGTCTATTTGCGTGTCAGGGCCTGTGTCTGTCTGTCTGTCTGCGGGAGTGGGGGGATGCAGGGGGGCAGGACCTGGGGGCCACTTCTTGTTCCCTCTGGGTTTTTTTGGCAGGGGACCGTCTAGGGCTGAGCCTCCGCCCCCAGCTGCTGGCTGTTCGGGGGGTTGAACCCAGAAAGGGGGGGACGGCCGGAGGGGGCAGCGGGCAGGGTTGGGGGGCAGACAGATGGGGCGGGTGGATTCTCACCTCCCAGGGCTTGGTTTCTGGTTCCCAACTCCGCCCCCCCACCTTCGGGATAAGCTGGGTTTGGGGGAGATTCACGGGCTGGGAGGGGGTTGGAGGGTTTTTTGGGGGGGAGCAGCCATTTCTCCCCCATGTCAGAGAGTCCCCCGCCCCCCGCTGGTGAATGGGACTTTTCTTGTGAAGGATCCTGGGAAGGGCCGGGAAAGGCATCGCCCCTGGGGGGGGGGGAGGTGTGGAGACGTGGGGGGGGGCTGGGGGTGGAGAAGGGGGAGGGGTGGAGACAGGGGGCGGGGGGGGGACCGGACAAAGGGAGCGGAGGAGAAGTTAGAGAAGAGAGAAGAAGTTTGCAGGGAGCGAGGCAGACCTGGGGGGCGGGATCCCGGGGACAGGCCGGTGGGGGGGGGTGTCTCGGGGCTCAGGGACAGGCGGGGGGGATCTCGGAGATAGTTCCCCCCCCAGGAATGCGGGGTCCCGGCTGCTGGGAGCGAGACTGAAGAAAACTCCGCCGGTTCCCCCCCCAAGCAGGGTGAGTACCTGGGGGCGGGGCGCAGTGAGGGGATGGGGATGGGGATGGGGATGGGGATGGGGGGAGGCGGGGCTGGGTGTGGGGGAGATTCAGGGGCTGGGAGGGGGTCTGAGTTTTTTTTTGGGGGGGGGGGTTGGCCCCCATGGGGGGGGGGGGCCCCATTGAACGTCT